CACGACGCTCTTCCGATCTCCCCAAAACCCCAAAACCCCAGCTGTGAGATCGGTTTGAGAATTAGATGAATTTAAAATAATATGGATTATATTTAATTAAATATTTGAGAGAATATGAAAATTCATAACAACAATCAGTAATTATTTAAATTGGCTCATTATACTTAGGTATGTGCCTATAAGACAGGCTCAGCAGATTCAATCATAAATAGCAGATGAGAAAATGTATTAAATGCCATCTTAAAAATTAAACACTATTAATAAAGCTTAATCTCATGATTCTAGGCAACAGCCATATGTCTAATAGCAAAATTAATATGATCGATTGCAGTAAAATTACCCTGATTAGTCAAGAGCCTATTCTAATGATTAGTATAATCAGGCTTATAATGATACAAGAATTAGCAATACAAGCGCTAGCTATATCAGGAAAAATGAGTAAAACTTAGCTTATGAAAAGTTTAAAGAGGAAAGATTGAATATGGCACAGTCAAACTAATATTAATCTCAATTGGCAATGTAGAGATAGCAATAGCCTTAATAAATAAAATAAAACTAGAATATTGAGAGAAATTACTCTCAGCAATCTTTTAATCCAGTTCAACAGGAGGATAAAAATAAGTTGCTTCTTGATTATGAAGTCAATATGCAAAGAAACTAAAAGTAAATAGCTAATTCTGGTGTTTAGCACAATGCTAACAGTAACTAAGAAGAGAATGAAGATGAAGAAGAGGAGGATGAAAATTCTGATGGAAACGATGTTGATGATCTTGAAAATATTGTCAATAATCTAAAAGCTGAAATATAAAATCTTCAGGTAAGTCAATTCTTGACAAATCAACATTTGTGTAGGTTCGATTCCAAAGTCAGAATAAAAGCCCTCAAAAATAAAATTTAAATTAGTAACTCTCTAAATCTAACATAAATAATAACTAGACATAGCCATACATTCCTGTTCGACAAAATTTTAATGATGTAAATAACCTCAACAACCCCTCTGAAAAGTATAACACCTAAAATTTAATCAGAAACAAAAGTGATTTACAGAACAGCTCAGAGTAAACTCAATTATCCTAGCAAATTCCTAAATCAAATTAATAACTTAAGCAATCCCCCAGATTTATCAACCCTAATACCAATTAGAATAAGCAAAATAGAAAGTACCCAGCTTAGCAGCTAAGTTTCTTAACAAAATCTCAAGAGAAAATAAAAAAGAACTCTAAAAATCAATCACCTAAGGAAACTAGATTCCTACCAAGTAATAATACTAATAAGAATTTCAACTCATTGTAGCCGAGAAGGACTAACTATATCCAAAAGTAACCGATTCATGCATAGTAATTGCAGACTTCATAATAATAGCAAAAGTAGTAACAGCCTTTAACATTATAAAGACCTAGAAATTTCAATACATTAAATACTTAAAATGTAAGTAACAATTATCAAAGACCTCACTTTAATATTACTGATCAGAAGCCAGAGTAAAAATATTAAAACTACATCTCCTCTTCGAAGGACATGCCTTTGACTTACAAAAACAAGAGCATTAACTAAGATTTAATGAGCGAAACTAATGATATTGAAATGAGATTAGATCCCAATAATGATACAGTAGAGGAAAGATTATTTAAATTTTCTCCTCTAAGTAGCAAGAAATTCGATGAAGAGGATCATAACGGGGGTAGCTAGAGATCATTTCAAAATAATTCAATCATAAATGATACTAGCTCTTTGAATTACAATTCAAACTCATAATATGCTGACCAAACTCCAGTAGGCTAAAAGAAAAGATCAAGCTTAAATAATACATAAATCAAGAACAATTCAAATTTAGATGGTTATAATCCTCTAAGATTGTCTCAATCACCAATTCAATCTTCTTAAAATATGAAGCAATTTCATAGAAACGCCAATAACTACTCAAAAATTTCAAATGAAAATGAAGATATTATGAATACCTCAACAGTCTCCTAGCAGAATACTTAGACATATGTTTAGTAATAGAGATTTTTCAATGAACAATAGCAATTGTAGAAGTAAATACCTGCTTCAGTCATTCATCACTCAAGAGAGAACAGCATGCCCCCGATGATTTATAAGAGAGAATAAACACCTTAAACTGCAATTAGAAATCTTTCTAAAATAGTAGTTTAAAGCACAAATCAGTCAGTTTAAACAGAACCCCGAGGTCCTCTAATGCTCTCTCCTTTTGAAACCTATGATTTGTTATTCGTTAGAGATACCATTAATAATCTAAACTTTGACAATGAGATATTGAATCAAAATGTTGAAGATTTGAAATCAGGGTTTTTATATCTCTATCAAAAGCATAAAGACTTGCTCTATAACTATAATAAAGAACTATAAAATAAGCAAATACTAGAAAATTATCGCAAAAAAATAGCAGAGCTTATTATTCAAAACTAAAAGACTGAGGCTTAAAATCTCTAACTTTAATTGAAGGTTAAAAGCATGACTGAAATTATTTAGCTTTCAACTAATGAATAATTTTTTTCAATGCAGGATGACTAAATATTAATTGAATAATTAGAGGAGGAAAATAGGAATTTAAGACAGTTAATATCGATTTCAAATTTTGTAAACTAGGAAGTCACTATTGAAGAGGTAGAATCAGCTTTAAAGGAAGAAGAAAAATTAGTGTAGGAATTTGATTATCAATTGATGCAGACTGAAAATCTCAGAAAGCTTTAAGAATTGGAGAAGATAAGGATGGAACTCAGTTCAGATATCGAGGAAATTTTAAGACAAGAATACGAGTAGAAGTTTCAAAAATTAGCTGAGGAGACTGCTCAACTTGTGAAGGAGAGTGCTGATTTCAATAAGAATCTACAAATTAAGCCAGAGTAATAAGACGTTGAGACACAGATATTTATCAATGACAATTTCAAGAATTCTGAAGAAAATCTATTGACTGAAGAGGCAAATGATGTATCAAATGAAAGTCAAAGATTAATTATTTAGTAGAAATGTTCTACGAACTCTACAAAAAAATTAATAAAGAAAAACTTTCAAAATAAAGACAAATAATTAAAAGATGACACAGCTGAAAATAATAAGTATATTGATGATTTACCTTACTTAAATGAAGTCTAATAGGAGCTTTTCAATAAAGAAAATGATTAAAGATCATTAGAAGAAGATAAACTGAATGATGATGACGAGTTTAATGAGTATTTTGGAGACTAGCCATTAGATGAGGAAGAAAAATAGTTCATAAGAGAACTAAAGCTAAGAGAGAAAAGAGAGAGCAATACACTCTAAGAAAAGAACATAGATAGCTAAAATAAACTTGAAGATTTTAATAAAGATTTAAGCATCAGTGAGAGTGAGGAGGAAGACGAAGATGAAAAGCAAATGAAGAAGCTTATAGAGATTCAAAAATAAAATGATTTTTACTAAGTTGATGATGAAGAGGATGATGATGAGGAGGACGATGATGATTTTATGTACGAGCAAGGAATAAACTAAAATAACAAAGCTATATACGAATAGATCAGAAAATAAAAAGTGGATTAAGAAATGTAAAATGATGGTAGACTGATTAGAAGAAACAGAAGTGATGGTGATGGTGAAACTAATAACCTCAATTATAATGACTATATGGATGACTTCTATCCTGAAGAGGATGAGTTTAATAATATTCATGGCGAGGCAGATAATTTACATGAAACTGATTAGCAAGATGATGTACTTGACCAATAAGATGAATAAGCAAGAAAGGAGCAACAGTTTAGATAATAGTTATTTGAATCGGGTCTTCCAAAAATACATGGCAATGGGCAGCAGTTTAACTTCGATGATGATGATGATCAATTTTTAAAAGATTTTACCTAGGATTTCCAATAATAACTTGATGGTTAAAGTAAAATGAATGAAGAATAATTTTTTGATGATTTAAGTGGTGGAAGAATCAATGGTTTAGATAGTAGTAAAGTGAGGTAGCATCACATAATTGAAAGTGACAAAGGAGAGATTCTGTTTGATTTATAAAGAGATGAAGAAAAGGAAGAGGAGTATGACTATTTCAATCAATAAAATGAAAACATGGTTGGTAATAATGACTACCATATAATGGATGAAAACATTTAAAACAATGATGAAGAAGAGGAAGAAATGCTTGACGATGAAGAAAAAAAGGAAAGAAATCGATTTATGCTTAAAGAACTACAATAAAACTTCGAAAAAGAAGGAGACCAATAGTTCAACTAGAATTGAAACACAAATAAATAAATTGTCTAAATTAAGTCATTTTTCATTTAGATTAATTAATCATCCATTTGAATATTTGATTAGCGTTTTCGGGGTTTTGGGGTTTTGGGGGTTTTGGGGTTTTGGGG